AAAAAAATTGACAACTTTCCTCTAGTGAAGTCGGATCTCTAAAATAAAATGGCACAAAACAAAAGAAGTTTCATTCTTTTCAGACCTGCGGAGGCACTAGTGTCTAGAAAATATGAATAAAATTGGAAGTAGGTGAATACTAATGTGCTCTGATGGCATAAAAATTTCATACAACTGTTGAAAACGAGCATTCGGGGCAAACGAGGGAGTGGAAGAGAGAGGGAGAAGGTTCTGCGCCTTTATCAGTGGAATCTCACTTTAAACAAATTTACCGCACACGTGGTCGAAAAGTAACTGGCAGTTTCGAGATCTGGCATTTTACACACCCACATACTTCCCCTCTATCCTAAAAGTGACCCTTTTTGCAAAGGATAGATGCCAGTGAAGTGACTCGTAAAGTTGGAACAAATTTCAGTGGCTTAAATCTTTACAATGAATGCCTCGGAGGAAGATATATTGGTCAGCAATTTGCCGGGTCATAAGGTATTACTATTATTATTATTGGCCAAAACACATTTTCTTACCAATTAGTCGGTATCTGGAGTCGGACAAGTCAAGCGGAAAGAGGGTGTCCTTAATCCAAACCACTGAGGCAGCTGGTGTAGCTGATACCTCACATTGAAGGTGTGTCGAATCGCCAACTTGACCGATCGTGGTTGTTGGACTGTCGGTAATTTTAGGTAGACCTTTCGGCGGAGCTAATTAAAAAAAGAACAGCATAACTCAGTTAATTTGTGCCTGAGTACTAGACTCGGCAGTTTCCCTGGTTTATTACAAACACTTTGTGGATCGACTACTCCATCATTATGTATATTACGCTGTTATATGGCTTTTCGGTACAAAAATTCCTTTCTGGATTTTGATAGCAACGTTTAATCGGGCAATAACGTCCCATAAAACCATAAATGACACTAAAAGTTAAACAAGTGGATAAAAGCGATGGCACTTTGGACCCAGCGTCGCCAGCCTCCTCGTCATCCCAAATGGCATTATAGTTGCAGCTAGGACTGGAAACAACTGCCCATCGCATTCCAGTTGATTGGCATTAATTGAAAGCTTTTCACACCACTATGAGTTGTTTTGCGTGCCTGCCAAGCGGAGCTACTTTTACATCCATCTGAATGAGAAGTGACATCAAAATGGAGAGGAGAAAAAGAGAGAGAGTGGGACAATTTATGTAGTGCATATACTGTCCCATAAAAAAGTATCCATGATAAAAATGTCCCCGTATCTCTGTGCAATTAAGTGCAGTGCGAGGTGTTTCAGCCTCTTTTTTCCCTCCTGTCGAGCGGTGTAAAAATTGTGGATGACAATTGCTGCAATTTAGGTGAATGAGAATGATATTAGTCTAGAATTTTCAACGGAAGGCAGTTACGAATTGCTCTTTCTGAAGCAAGTATGTCCTTTTGCTATTGTACATACAGTAGAAAGAAGTTGTTATGGGCTGAGTTACTATGGTCAAGGCAGGACCCATGTTAAGTTCTATCAGTTGAAAGGCCTCAGTTCTACGATCCCTCAAGATGAATCAGATAGGGGTGGGGTAATCATAAAGGCATCTATAAGGTCAGCTTTTATACCAAGAAGGGTTTTTCAGGACTCCAAGACACATTTAATCCAAAGCGGGGCTTTTAATAAATAAATAAATTTTCCTAGGAGGAACCGCACGCATTAGTATGTAAAAAGCGCGCCTTTTAACCATTGCAAGTGGTCAGCTCATATGCCTTGGAGCAGTTCAGACAGTTAATCTATGTGGTGTACTAAGGCAACAAAGACATATGACTCCAGTCGACTTGTGTCCGAAGGCGACACTCGGCAGTAAACCACTCATCCGCTGGAGACTTTAGAAAAAAATTGCACGTTTACCAATTCCTATTTTGGTATTGTTTATTTCCATTCCCCAAAGGCCACTTCTGTGAACACTCAGTCAGTCGGTGGATTGTGACATGAAAGCACACAAGTGGGATATTTCTCGGTGTGGAATTGGTAAATTGCTATAAATATTCTTGGATACGCTTAATTTCGGGATTTCGTGACCTGAGTGTCAAAACCGAGGCGGGAGAATGAGTAAGGCGGTGTAGCGGAAGGCTATTTGAAAAACTACATGTAGCCTCCACCCCTTCAAGTGCTCTACTTTTAAGCATTAAGATATCCTGACTTTACCTGATCTCGTCTTCTAATAATAGAGTTTAGTAAAGCAAAAATTCTGGTTCTGCTGGGTAAAAAATAAACGCACGTTCATTGGCATCATAAACGGTGATTCTGGCTTTGGTCGAGTCAGTCCCGAATTGGTTGTAGACCCGACAAGTGACCGTGTCGGCATTATTGGACATCTGCAACTTCACCCGAAGAGTCAGCCCACTCCCCTTGGGCAGAGGTCGCACAATCACCCCGGAGGAAGAAATTCCAGGCGCACTCTCACGTATGGAGGGATCCAGTTCTTGGGAGTTCCAAAAAAAGGTCACTTGTGGTTCGGGGTTGCCGGAGGCTCGACAAAAGAGAACAACATCCTCACCGTGGATGGCTTTGGTGTCCTGAGGTCCTTC